CTGATCTGGAACCTATCTAGACCAGACACTGTCTTCCCTCTGCCTGCACACTCAGCTACGGAAAGTGATTGCTTGGATAGGGAGATGCCTGAATTTGCTAACCAGTAGGATCTGTTCTTCCTGTCTTTCCTGTTGTGTAAATATTTCTTTCATGGGTTGTCTAAAGAAGTAAAATAGATTGCTCACAGTTGAGGAAGTAAATATCCTGCAACTAAAACTATCCATGCAATAAAAATCAATCTGCAGGAAGCATAATTTGTGACAATCACTGAGTGCATTGCTTTCTGACAGATGCAGTGTATTGCTTTCCAGAAGGGCTGGCCTGATCAGTTATCTCATGCACACCAGTGTGCAATGAGATATAGCACACCAGTGTGCTAAAAAGCCAGCGGACGAGAGCTTCTCATTTGCAGTGCCTCAGGCCAGTAGCAAACAGGAAGAGCTCTTATATGTCCAAGGTGGAAATCTGTAGTCTCTTCATTCTACTGTCTTTGTGCTTTGGTGCATTCACACTGGTTATTGTTCTCTCTGTCACTGCTGCTACAGCCACCTCCTACAGGAGGGCTGTAGGAAAGGATGTTTTCTAACTGTCTACATCAGGAGTGCCCTGTCAGAATATGCGTTTATCAAAGATGGAGCACAGAACTGGGAAGATCGGGGTAGGACTCAAGATTTCTGGGTTCTCTTATTCTTCTTTCTGGGTATTATTTGATCTAGGGAAAGCGACTTTCTAGCACAATGTACCCATTTATTGTACCAGCTTAGCTCTCCTCAGTAAATGGGTTTGCTTACATACAGCCTACCTCTCTCCTTTGGACATTATGGGAGTTGTACTGTGCTAAGGGATGGATCTTCAGTTCCTGTGATGACTCCTTCCCAGCAAGAGCCAGGGAGATTCTTCAGGGTCCACCTATTGTAAGCACACAATGTACCCATTTATTGTACCAGCTTAGCTCTCCTCAGTAAATGGGTTTGCTTACATACAGCCTACCTCTCTCCTTTGGACATTATGGGAGTTGTACTGTGCTAAGGGATGGATCTTCAGTTCCTGTGATGACTCCTTCCCAGCAAGAGCCAGGGAGATTCTTCAGGGTCCACCTATTGTAAGCATGATCCCTTCTGAAACCTGGAACACTCCTGGCTAGAAGACATTATGTACCTGGCCAGAAAGATTGGTGTGCCAACTCAGAGTAACAACAGTTAGCTCTTAATATGGCCCTCCACAGATCATTGAATTTATCCTTGGCAAAGACAGGGAGAGACGTTTCCCGCTTCCTAAGAATAGGAAAACAAGTGGAGCACCTATGAGGGCGCAGATCCCTTCTTGTATGTGGGTAGGAGATTAGATGGGGATTGAAGATGTTGCATTGCTTCTCACCCTACTTCATGTGCCATTTCAGAAATTACATGACGTACTTGAACTCCATACACGCCTTAGGTGGAGAGTAAAGGCCATTGTTTGCAGACTGGAACTTGTACTGGTGGAAGTCTCACAGGGAGCATTCTTGTGTCCCTCCATTGTGCAAGGACTTACTACATGCAGGCCTCAGTTGAACCATGTGCAGGAGGTAGAAGGGGTTGTGGGTAATCGGCCTTGTTTATACCCTTATAAAATATCTTACCCCAGCTGGGGGAGCTTGTTGAGCTCATCTGGCTGAAGTAAGCATTTTCCCTGTGTGCATATCAAGTCACATTAAGGTTTTCTCCTAGCTTATATTTTGCCTGTAGGCCTTGGGGAAGAGAGATCTCTTTGGATGTCATTAATAAATGAAATAGGCTTGCTCTCATGATAAACAGTCCTCAACCAATCCACTAACCTCTGCAGGAGAGACAGCATTTGTCTTTAGTTTAAAAAAAAAAAAAAAAAAAAAAAAAAAAGACAGAATTCAGGCCTGCCGCTTCCTTTTACTGATCAGCAGGGAACACAGCTGTATATGTTTAGGTATGGTTGGATTTCTGGGTTTCTGTTTCTAAAAGCTCACAAATAACTAGGTAATAATTCTGCATGTAAATGGCAAACGTGATGACTTGTTCCATGATAAATGGTAGCTACAAAGGCAGACAAAGAGTTGCAGGCCCAGGGGGAGTTGCTGCGAAATTGATGCACTTCACACAGTGTATAATGAAACTGCTTAGAAACTCCAAGTGAACCAATCTTGCCGTTTGCCTATGCCTAATTATTACATCCCATGTTACCTTGCAATTAGCAGGTATTGCACATTTGTATATCTGCTTCCTCACTAGCTACTGCTTTTTCACACAGTACCATTAGGCTCTTTTAAATGATGATTCTTGTCCCTTCTGAGGAATGAACTGCTATTGCTGCGATAAATTTAAGCTGTTTCAGCGTGTGATAGTGTCTACCTAAGGTTCTTACTTTTTCTGAAATTTCTTACTGTACAGTGGGTCCTGTCTGCCGTTATTCTACTCAAGAAAGAGAGAGCGTGGATGGATTTTGTTTTGGTTGGTTGGTTTGTTGGTTTGATAGAAAGGCTTTTTGCATGGGTGGTTTGTCCCTATAAGCATCTTTTGTGTGTGTCTGTGTGTGTGTGTGTGTGTGTGTGTCTGTGTGTGTGTGACTCCTTGTGAGTATGCATCTGTGTGTGCCCTGTTTGTCGTGTGTGCATTGTTATGAGCATGTTCAGTGTGTGTATCTCTTGAGTATGTTGTAAATGTGTCTATTGTGTGCATCGTGTCTGTTTTTGTACGTGCAGATGTGTGTTTATGTGCATACATGTGTGTTTGTGCTCTCATATGGGCCTGTGCTTGTGTCTCTGTGCAGCCTCATTTCTTCTCCGGCTCTGAGCAGCCCCTTTGTGCTGCTGGAGGAGGCTTCTTGTGGCACCACAGCTGTGCCTTGCAATGGACTGGCAGGACTGATCCTTTGGTCTGAAAAGTGACACCACACAGAAATTCCAGCCAAACTCTGCTTGGATCTATGCCCTCATGGCATGGCTGTTTGTGTCCTCCATGGAGGTGGTGGGGCAGGGGGTTACAATTGCTTTGGGGCAACCCATTTGCTTCTTTGGAGCCAGAAGTGTTACCCAGGGCTTTCCAGAAGCCTAGAACAAGCTGTGGCTGGATGTTTGTTCTCAAAGCTATTTTAGACAAATGCTTAAAAAGATCACAAAGAATAAAAAAACACTTTCACAGGCCTTTTTCTATCTTCCTAACATTGGTCCCAGGAGATCCTGGAAAGCAGTTATCCTCATACAGGGTCCTGTGTGATGCTAGAGAAACATGAGGTTTCTTCCCTTCCTCCCCCTCACATCTCATTTTAGCCAGAAGATTGATCCCTAAACGCTTGTTTAAAGTACAGCCTCTCTAAATAAACTATTCAACATTCTCTCCTTTATCCTGTCCCTTCTGACAATATGGATTAACTTTGAGAACAGTGGAGATGAAATAGCAGCAGAAGAAATATAAAATAATTATTGCTAGAATGTCAAGACATTAAATGCTGCCGTTCTCTTGGGACAGGGTGCCCCTGAGAGAGCTTTCTTCTCTAGGGACATATTGTGTGTTTCTCTCTAGTTACAGATGCTCTTGCTTAGTCTCGACTATTCATCCTCATTGGGACATATTATACCTCTACAATGTTTCAAGTTCCTCCCATGGTACAAAATTTATTCTCCAGCTTCCTGATTCTTCTCTGAGCCTTTTCATCCACTAATTTTCTCCTTGAAGTGCCACCTGCTGCATCTCTCAATGGTTTTCACGTCATAGCAAGAAAGAAAACCCTCTTCCCTACTTAGAGGTGACCTGTACTGAGACAATGTTACCTAGTTTATTTTTAAATGAATCTTGGAATAGTATGTTGAGTTGCCCAAACTATAAGGTAAGAGTCTTATGCAGCAGTTTTATGTTTTTTTGATGGTTTTTTTTTTTTTGGTTAGTTCAAGGTCACCTCATCGCAGAGACTTCCAAATCTTCCTCAGAGCATCACAGGAACTTGTCTGGAGCAGACCATTTTTACACTGCAAGAGCTAGGTGAGCTATATTGCTATTTTAGTAAGGGTTTTTGGCCAATCTAGATTTTTCTCATACTGACCTGTGATGTTAACTTCAATTTAATTACTCAGGTCAGTTCTACACCAAAGTAATTTAAGTTGTGTTGTGGTTTATGTTTTTCTGTCAGGTTTGGATTATAGTTAACAGGACAGATCTGAATTGGAAAGTTTAATTTATCGCATTTTATTGGCTTATTACATATTTAGACTGTATCATAGAACTTCCTTGTACAGCCAAAGCAAGATATGCCTTTTTTGCTACAAGGCCAGACTATTTCTCCAAGTATCTTACAGAAGCAGTCTCATTGTAGAAAGCTAAGTATATGTATGCATGCTTCAGGCAAGCAACAGTTGTAGATTTCCATGCCTACATTACATATAGATATGTTTCTATCTACATCCTTTTAAGGACACCTTTGCAATTTTCCCTCACTCCTTAATGGAATATTTAAGTGTTAGCTTTAATTATAGAATTCCTTTAAAAAATCTCTAAATACAAATTTGGCTGACTGGAGGGAAAAAAAAAAAAAAAGGTGTGTGAGTGATGCAAGAGTTGCACACAGGCACCTGTTTACTCCCATTCATTCTTTCAAGTGAAATAAAGTACACTTTATTGGGATAGGAGACAGTTTAAGTGATGGACTTTTGTGCAAAATATTCAAGCTCCCTCTAGTGAATCTGTATGTTATTGCAGTTTTTAAGTACAGCGGTCACTATCAGTGAAGGTTTACTTTTGGATTTAGCCCCGTTAATGAAAGCAGCCAGACTCGAAGCCAAGTGCAGGACCTTAGTTTTACTGAGTAGTAACTAACTGAAGCTGTTAAAAAGTTCCCATTGTTTGGAGATAGGGCACCGCGCCAAGAAAATAAGTGTCACTAAGAAATACCTTTTTTAGATGAGAGCATGAAAATCAGTGGAAAATGGTGTATTTTACTTGAAGCATACTTTGCACAGACTGGCTATCAAAAAAATTCCAACACGTTTTTCCCCTACTGAGAAAGTTTGATTCTTTAATTGGAAAAATCAAGTTCACTTTCAGCATTAATATTTATCTCATAAGACCAACAGCTGAGAATGAATGTGACAAGGGAGAAAAAATAATTTTTCCACGTGGTAACACTACCATTTATGCATTAAACCCACGAGAGAGAGAGAGACAACTTATCTTCACTTGGCACAGAACACTGTGACATAGTTTAAAGAAACTTCAGTCATATTGTGGCATTTACTACCCCACACAGATGAAATACCAACTGTATCTGTATTGGACAGGAAGAGATATGTTGTAGTTTGTAACATGGAACTGCTCCATTTTAATATATGGACTTATCCTAAGGAATTATGTTATTTTTTTAAGGTGGTCTTAGCAGAAAGGGAATGATATTTTTGTTTTCACAGTATAGCAAGAAAACCTCCACTTAGGATGTGCAAGGAAACTAATTTTCCTTTCTTCAGGCAAAAAAACATCGTTGACAGATGTGAGTAGTCAGAATAGGGGCTCAGTCAGCAGCTTATAATTTCATCTGCGTTTTTTCTCATGATTGGTTTCATATCTGATCACTACGTAAATTAATCAGACGCTGCTAGTGAAGGACAGGATATGAATATAAGAACACTATGTTTCTTCCAACACCACAAAAAATAAAGCATTCCTGTAAAGGATGCTCTTCAGAGGCAAGTTGCTCAAGCAGTTTAATGACCAGTTAGACTAATCCCATGAAGTAATGGTGATTTTGTGAATCATGCAGTGTTGAAGTAGTCCAAGTGCCTCCTATTTGAGAGATACAGCCAAAATACGTGACTAAATTTGTGGGGTGCTCCCTCCTCTCCCAAGTGTTCAAGTATTCATGTCTTTCTAATGTTTCTTCTGCTTTTAAAAAGCTAAGTAAACTTCATTTTACCTAGTTCACATATTTTAGACACTTCACACACATATATAAAAATAAAGTGACTTCTGTGCATGAAACACCGTAACTGATTTGAAATAGAAGCCGTAAGCTTCACAAGGTCGTGCCTTACAGCCCAAATTCAGGTTTCTCCCCAGAGATGTCATTTCTGTATGCATATGACAGTCGTAAAGACAAACAAACAAACAAACAAAACGAAAAAAAAAAACCCAAAAACATGATAAAACACAGTTTAGAAGCACAGCTTGAAAACAGAACAAGTAGAATTTGGAGCCTTATCTGGATATATAGTATTGTGTAGTACATACTAAAAATTGCTCTGATTCCCATGAAGCATAAAGCATATACAAAAATAACGAGCAGGGGAAGCTCCACAGAAAAGAACGTTCCTGCTTAATGGCGCCATGCGCAAAGGAAGAACAGTATCTCATTGCAACAAAAGGCAACAACATTTCCATCTTTAAAACTAGGTGGCACAGAATTAGCAGCCATCATCGGGTGAGTCTGTGACCACCAAGAAAAGAGCTTTTTTTCAGAGACACCTTATTCTGGATTCTGTTTTCAAGGTTAAAGTATAAGAGAGAGCAAAGGTCAGCCCTATTCAGGGGAACGGCTTGTAAACAAAGTGGCAAAGTGAGCTGACATGTAGTGTCAGCATGTTTAGAATATCATATCAGGAAGTTAGAACTTGAATTTTAATGCATAAATTTTAGTCATATGAGATCCTAACTATTGGTGTAAATACAGAGAAGTTGCTAAAGGTGTTCAGTTTGGCTTAAAAAATGAAACCAGCCAACCTCCACAAAACCTAGCTAGAGTTTTGAAGGTGAATCCAGGAGAAGGGAGGAAAGAAATCCATTTAAGCAAGCTATTAGACTTCTTTCTTCCTGTAGAGCTGAGGCAGATGCATATGTGCATGCGTGCATTTTTTTTTTTCTTACGAAGTGAGGCATCCTGAATAGCTTTGCCAGTTTGCTTGCTATCTCTCTACTGGAAAAGGAAAGGAAGAGTGCCATAGTTTGTGTATGTATGAAAACATAGTTTTCACACCTTCCACTTCTGTCAGGATGCGGAGTTGCTGTTTAACATCCATCGCATCAAGGGAGATCAAGCAGCTTATGTTGGGCATAGAGCTCCTCAGTGATCCCATAGACATTGCAGATATGTGGTAAGGCATCACCCAGCATAACGACAGCCTCCTCAGGGGTGCCCACATTCATGATTTCAAGGAATGCATTTCGAGAAGGTAAAGCATGGAAGGCCACAGTGGCAGCCTTGCGAATAATCCAGGGGTGATAGTTAGCCAGAGAAGCGTTGTAAGAGTCCGTGCAGATCACTGATGTCTTGGAGTCTTCCTGACCAGTTCTCAGCCCCTCCAGGAACAACTGCAGCCAGCGCAGGGCTCTGTGGAGGCGCAGCACCGTCCGGCAGCCGGAGTCAGGGTGCCCCGACCGCTTCTGGGTATCTACCAGCCCGTTGGCCACCTCGTACTGCACCATGGACTGGAGCGTCAGGTACTTCTGCTGCTGCTCGCCGCTGCAGTAGTTCTCCATGATCTGTATTTTGGCCAGCGCGTCCTTGGAAACAAAGGAGAAGATGGCGCCCAGGCTGTTCAGGAACCTGCGTGCGGGAGAGACCGGCTCGCGTTAGCGGC